TCCTGCGGTCTGGCTGATGATCGATGAAGCGGTGACCTGAATTTTACTTTTATGGAGGACTGCTTTTGTGACCTGGGCTTTCCTATCATGGAGGACTGCAAAAGCGGTGAGGGGGGCTATGGAGTAGTCGTTGATCGTTTGACAGGAGGCAACCAACCTTCACTGATTTACAGGACCTGTTTGGTTCTTTAGTCGATCCTAAAATTTCTATCACATCGAATATTTAGACACATGTATGAAGTATTAAATATAGATTAATTATGAAATTAATTGTATAACTTACTACTAATTTACGAGACGAATCTTTTAAGTCTAATTGGTCTATGATTTGACAACGTGGTGCTACAGTAAACATATGCTAATGACAGATTAATTAGACTTAAAAAAATCGTCTCGCAAATTAGCCTCCATCTATATAATTGGTTTTGTAATTAATCTATATTTAATGCTCCATGCATGTGTCTAAACATTTGATGTGATAGGAATTTTATGATCGACTAAAGAACCAAACAGGAACTTCTTCCGTGCGAATTGCATACCGCTGAGCATTCGATTTAATCGAAATCGTCTTCCAATTCGCTGCATTCACAATGAATTCCAATAATATTTGGTGGAGTTTGTTTAGACGTCAGAACTCGGCACTTCAGCGGTCATCACTCGATAGAGAGTCATCTCCTTCATATTTAGAAATCAGAAGGACGCTACCCAAACAGAATGTTGATTGCTGAACCAAAACACCACCCCAGCGGCCCAGACCGGCCGTCGGCGCCTCGCGAGCGGCGCTTCCGCCTCAATACTCCGAACGCATCTCCTTCCCACTCTCCGCGCCGGAGGCGCCTCTCTCCACCATCGCTTCCTCTACGGCAGCGCGACCGCCACGCGGCCCGCCCGATTCGTGGCCGAGGACTACCTCATCGCTAGTTGCGGCCTCACCCTAGCGCAAGCCCGGAGGGCCTCCAAGCACCTCGCCCACCTCAAGTCACCGGACAACCCCCGACGCCGTTCGCGCCTTCCTCGCCGGCATCGGCGTCTCCCAAGCCCACGCCACCACGGCAATCGCCAGGCACCCGCTTCTCCTCACATCCAAGGTGGACAAAACCTTAACTCCTCGCGCCACCCAGCTCCGACAAATGGGGTTATCGGCTTCCGAGATCTCCCGCCTCGTTACCATAATCCCCTCCATCTTTGTCAAACCCACCGAGATCTCCCGGCTCCCGTTCTACCTCTCCTTCCTCGGCTCTTACGAGAATGTGCTCGCCGCGCTCGCGAGGGCCCGCTACCTCCTTAACGCAGACATCAACAATGTGGTCAAGCCCAACATAGAGTTCCTGCTGCAGTGTGGCCTGACTCTTTGTGATGTTGCCAGTCTCTCTTTGCGCGCTGGGCTTGTGTTCACCATGGCGCCGGAGCGTGTCAAGGAAGTGGTGGCGCGTGCTGACAACCTCGGTGTGCCCCTGTTATATACCTACTGTACTAAACGGCCAGCTATGGGCCTAAGAAGCAAGCAGATGTATTACGGCCCTGTTCAGGTGCTCCTAAAATTTCTGTCACATCGAATGTTTAGACACATGCATAGAGTATTAAATATAAACTAATTATGAGACTAATTACACAACTTACGACTAATTTACGAGACGAATCTTTTAAGCCTAATTAGTTCATGATTTGACAACATTGTGCTACAATAAGCATGTGCTAATGATAGATTAATTAGGCTTAAAATCGTCTCGCAAATTAGCCTCCATCCATATAATTGATTTTATAATTAATCTATATTTAATACTCTTTATTAATATATAAACATTTGATATATATTTTAGAAGTGACTAAAGAACCAACCATCCACCTACAAAAGGAGCGGGGCGTTGAAGGACCAGACCCTGAAATGGCGGCGGCAAGCGCAGGCTTGAGTCCCAAATCCAATTCAGTGATCGTTCACCGGCGAGGAATCCAGCGAACGCTCCTATACACACGTGCGTCTCAACTGGCGTGCCTCCCCTCCCTGTGCGGTTATGCATGCGCTGATGTCAGCGCTGACATCAGCAAAAAAATCAAAGTATTTATTTTTAAATTGCTATAACTTTTGAACGGTGTATCCATTTCAAATTCCGTCTGTAACCGGTGTGTTCTACACGACAAGACGAATAAAAGTAGACCTCACTTAAATATGTTTTGAATAAAATTTTTAGTAGCAATTTATATATATTTATAATATATAAAGTTGTATTGAATAGCTTATGTACATAAGTTATATAAAATAACTTATTTATAAAAACTATGTTTGATAACTTTTGTACATAAGTTGTGTTTCATAACTTTTATATTTCCATGTTTTAGCATAAGTTATTATTTAATTTGTTCCTTGTGTTTAATAATTTTTTGGTCATGTTCGCTTCTCTTCTAAACCGTCTTTTTCAGCTTGTTTTTTCAGCTGGAATTGTATTTTTCTCTCACAACAAATCAGCCGAAACAGTGTTTTGGCTTGTTTTTTCAGCGAAGCGAACAGAGCCTTTGTGTTTTCAAGTTTTGGCATAAGTTATAAGTTAATTGCTCATTTATGTTTAATAACTTTTGTACATAAGTTTTGTTTCATAACTTTTATGTTTCTAAGCTTTGGAATAAGTTATATGTTATACTCCCTCCATCCCAAAAAACCTGACGTTTAGGACATGATTGTGCTTACCAAGGAGTCATTAATTAGGGTATAGTTTTCCCTATATGCCCCTATTAAATACTGTTGCGAGCGCTATCCATACGAGAAAGTTTCCTAGCTCATCTGGTTAGTGCGGTGTGGGTGAGCCCTGAGTCCCGAGGTCTCGAGGTCGAAACTTCGTGGACGCATTATTTTTGCCTGTGGCTTCATTTTGCATGGGTTTGGGTGGGGCGTGGCACGTGCGCGTTGGCTCGCATGGCACTGGTGCGGGTGGGAGCGCGTTTGGTGTTGTTTTGGCGCGTTTGGGCAGCGTTGGTGCTTGTTTTTGCGCCGTTCGCGCTCGGGTTTGTGCGTGGCCACGTAATTTTTCTGTCCGCGCTCCAAGCATTCTAATTTGGCGCTAATCTGGCCGGTCTCCGGACGCTCGACTTCTCGGGCCTCTGCTTCATTTAAAACGCCTCGTTCTCCACTGTACCACTCCCATGCTTGTCGTGCTCCACTCTTTCCTTCTCCACTCCTTCTCAAATGCAATGGCTAATCCATTTGATTTGAACGTTCGTTTGGAAGAAGATGACGGCGACGTCGATCTCAATGAGCCAATATTGGAGGACGACACCATAAATGGTAATGTACTACTCAGTTTGTTTGGTTTTTTTGTTTTATATTCAAAGCAAGAACGTGTGGTAACGTTTCTCATTTTCTTTCTTCTTTTTTTGGACAGGGTTCGATTTGAACTTGCCATTAGATGATTTTGGTGCTGTCGATTTCGATTACCTACAAAACCTTGCTGGTAATTTTTTTCTCATTTTGTTCTTTCGTTTTCTCCGTACTTGCAATGAAGCTGATGCTTTCTTTCCCTTTGATCTGAACGTTTAGCGGACGATGACGACGGCAACCTTGCCTTGGATCTCAACGAGGCTGAAAATGACGATGGCGACGCCGGCTTTGATCTGAACGAGCCTGAAGATGACGAGCATGGCATCGGTAAAATGCTTCGTCTCTTGTTTTCCTCTTCTGCATGTACTACAGCATGTTCTTCTTCTCTTGTGCATGACGAGCTAGAACATGCCGTGAGCATCTGTTGTTGAATGTCTTTGTTTTTTTTCATATATTGAGAGCATGCCGTGAGTACTATTAAAATGGTTGTTTTTTCCTTTTGTTAGAACAACATGCCGATCAAGTAAATCAACCGAAGCATGACTATTCTGATCATGTTAGACAACAAGTGTACCAAGCATTGTTGATGAGAAGTAAGAATGGGAAACTAGGCAAGCAAGATACAACAATTGTTGGTGCTCAATTTGGAGTAAAGATTCGATCAGTTCAGCGCATATGGAAGCAAGGTAAAAACCAACTTGCTCACAACATTCCAGTCATGGTTCCTAATCTAAAGAAAGGGCGGCGGCATGCTGCGTTTGAGCACCTGCGGCAGGAGAAGAACGGCGCGTCGAGGTGTTGCGGAGGGACTGCAGCGCCTTTACTCCACGCAAGAGCTGAGGACGGCGGCGACCAAGAGAACGAGGCGTCGGTCCATCGAGCGATTAATGCGTAGTCGAAGGAACCGTTGGCGAGCGGCTCGCCAGGGGTAAACCCGTCCTCGCGAGGCCTCGGGAGCCCAGGACGTCAGGTTTCACGAAAATGCTTCGGTTGCCCAGGACGTCAGGTTTTTTGGGATGGAGGGAGTAAGTAATAAGTTTTATGTATAAGTTATATGTTATGAGTTATTATATAGAAATTAGTATTAGAAAAATTCTTCGAAACATATGCAAGTGGGATCTAATTTTGTTTATCACGTCACGTAGAACACACTGGTGTAGACGAAATTAAAAACGGATACATAGTTTAAAAGTTATAGCATTTTAAAATAAGTATTTCTCTTTTCTTTTGATTACGTCAGCACTTCCTAACAAAGCACAGGAGGAGGGAGGCGCGGTACCATATGCTCTGCGCGCGCAGTTGGTTGGCCGGTTTGGTTGAGTTGCTGCCAAAAAGGGAAAGATGGGGATTTTTTTTTTTCCAAAAAGAGTATGTCTGAAAATTGATCGCTGCATATTTGTTTTAGACGAGCGTTCGCTATTTAGACGCGCCGGGCTTAGTCGAGGTGAGCTATTGGTCGAGGCTAGCTTCAGCTAGAGTTGTATCTCCTTCTCTTAATCCTTCCTCCTCCTCACTTGTACTGGTTCCCTTCAATAGAAACTTCTAGAACCTTCCCGAAGCTTGTATTCTGGCTCGTATGCTATTTCTGTGTGTGCTATTGTTGAGTTGAGGATTAGGACGGTGACAACTGGTACCGGAGCCGATTCCGATCCAGGGAGTACTCCACCATCGTGCCGGAGTTCCAGAAACCATGACGACGGAGGAGATGTTGACTCGGATCATAGCGAAGCTGGAGGAGACGAATGCTCTGTTGCGTAGCTGCGCTGAGCAACCGACGCCTTCGTCGCCTCCCTCCACCACCATCCACCCAGCCGACACCGAGGAACGAGAGGCGGCGACGATCTCCTCGGCGCTCACCATTTCTCCGACCTCGGCACCACCGCAGGACGCGAATCACGGCTTCCAGTTTGGCGTCACCAAGCTCTTCACCGCCGGCGCCGGCTCCTCCTCTCCGTGCTCTGCCTCCTCGCCCTGCTCCGCATCGCCGAGATCCGCACGCGTCGCGGCCTCCGAGTACTCCCTCGCCATCTCCGACTCGGAGACCGAGGCCGAGCCTGCCGCCACCTCGCTTGTCCCCGGATCCGCACCCACCGACGTCTCCTGCCTCGTCACCAGCGTCCACCGCGGGGACCCCAACCAGCGCCGCCATTCCGTGCGCCGCCACTTCTGCGACTTCGTCACGCTCGCTGACCGCCTCAACAGCCAGCTCCAGGGCACGCAGGCCATGGTCATGACGCTCTTCGGGGTCATGCCGCCCGTGCCCACCCACATCCTCGCCAAGGTGCCCCCGCAGAAGGAGGCGTTGTTCCATCACCTGGGAGTCACCGAGCTCCTGGCCACCTCGCCCACCAGGTGCTCGACGCTAGCTCCCTACCAGGCTGCCTGTATTCCAGTGTCCATAGTACCATCCTCGGCACCGTCAACAGCTTTCCCTGCCTCTACACTGCCCCAAGAGATCGTGCTCGCCATCCCCATCGTGGCCACTATGACTGCAACCATGACTGATTCATCACTTGACATCGACGAGTATGAGTCCTGCATTTCTAGTGAGAGCTATCTTAGCCCTAACAGTTTGCAGGTTCGATGTGCTGCTCCTCGCCACAAGGCTGCAGACCATGCCAAGCTTAGCCATGATGCTGATAAGGAAGCTGATAAGATCCTGCAGGACAGTGACAGCATCAGGAATGGTCGCGAATGTAGGCAACCAAAGCCTCCGTGGCTGGAAAAAAGTCTACATAACTCTCTCACCTTTGGCACCATGGCTACTTCACCCTCTGAACTTTGAAACCGTCTAACAAGCACTTTAAAGTTTTCCAAACCGTTTAATTAACCCCCTGAAGTGGTTTTGCATCCGGTTTTGCCTACGTGGCACTCCAATCTGCCAGCAAAAGACATGTTGGTGGCGGGGCCCAGCTGTCAGTCCCTTCCGCCCCCAAATACGCGTGGCTGGAGTCCTGGACGACTCGCCCTCACCCACGACGCCGGATCTTGGCCCGCCGCCTAGCATCAAGATCAGGACAAGGAGTGAGTGCGCCCCGCCATCGTCTTCGACTCCGCCGAGCAGGCATGGGCGTGGTGGCGTGGCGCGCGGTGGCGTGGCGCGCAGCGCCCGGTCGTCGAGGCGCTTGGCGTGGCTTGAAGCACAGTGCCTGGCTCCATGGCGCACGTGGCGTTCGGCAGCCTGGCTAGCACCAGCGGGCCGCGACGAGATGTTGGCTGAGTGCGAGTGGCCGAGGCGGAGGGCCTGGGCCAGCACCAGTAGGTCTTTCTTGTGGGTGGGGCGCGACGCACTGCAAGTGGAACTTCGTCGCTTGCTCATGGTCCTTGTCGTCGCGTGTGGTAGAACCGCCTAATCTAAGGCCTCCTAGGAGTTCTTGTCTTCCATTAAACACAAAGTACTCAAGAGAGGACGCTAAACTACGCAGTTCCGTCGAGCACACCCCAAGGGAGAACCTAAAAATTCACATTTTTTCATCAGAATCACAAATGAGGGAATGAAGCTTACAACATTTTAGCCATTTCTTACATCACTTTCCATGCAACATCAGAGCATAATATTTATTGTTTATAATAGCGGAATATGATCATGTTATCAGAGTTAGGAACAATTTAATTTAACAGCGGAATATAAATATGTGATCAGAGTTATAGCGAAAATAATGATGTATTCATGACATGATGAAGCATTGATATATAAACTATGACAACAGATTATAAACTTCTATTTATAAAAACATTTAGTGAGAGTTGTAAGTAAAAACTATGATCGCAGCGTAAAGTAATCCTTTCTGAGCCCAACAGGAGGGATCCACACACAAGAGTTAGCAGTAGCATCCGCCTGTCACCTGCAACAGGGGAAATGAAACCCTGAGTACTCAATTGTACTCAGCGAGACTTACTCATCAGGAGGAAATAAAAGACTCCAAGTATATGCAAGGCTATCTGGCTTGTGGATTTATTGTATCTGCAGGAGCATTACTAAGCGTGCGTCCTTATATTCAATTTTATTAGCAGTCAGCGTTAGTTCATTAACTAACCATTCTATGTAAGCACCTGCGCTACTTTCAAGCAGGTGGTAAGCAATCAGAATCATTTTACCATTTTTCATCTTCCAGTTCTTACTACGGTGCTAGACTGTAGACAAGTCGTACCGGATCGCCCGGTGATTCACGAATCAATGTGCCCAGCTGGGTACCCCAAAACACACGTCCCGCTTGTACCCCAGGCACAAGCCAAACCAACCAATCACTCTCTTGTCAAGGGGTCCAGGTCCCCGTCCAAACAAGGACTCCAAGCCCGCACACCTGAGTTTCGGACTCAGTGTGGTGCTTAGACCTCCACCATCCCCGCCTCCAATCAGTCGGTCCGGAAAGAGTCGGAACCCACGACAATAGAGCAACGAGCCTTTTCTGCTCCCATAAACAAGTATGTGCTCAGGATAATAAGTCTATGACCTGCTTAGAACCAAATGCAACGATCGGTCCTTAACCGACATAGGCGGAACAAGTGCAACCCGAGCCTTGCTCGAATGTCAAACCAAGTCCAAATCCAAAGTTCCATTCCGCCCGGTCTCCAATTATCATTCATATATTTTTTTTCAGGTGATAATAATATAATAGCAATAATAATATTTTTCCTATCTCTTACGAGTGACAGGCAATCACTTGACTTCTACCGGAGTCCTGTAGCATAGCAATCTACACGATCTTGTCATGCTAGTAAGACTCATAGGATAAGGATATATATATATATATGCAAGTGGTTTTTATTCAACTCCTTAAAATTTAATGTACAAACATAATATAAAGTGTAGAAAATAGGGGTTATGCACCGAGGTTTGCTTGGGTAAAACATAACCAAAAGTTAGCATTCCATCTTCGTGACATGATCCATAGCACCATCTTTCCAGCTACCCATTTGGTTCCACGACCCATCATCGTTCCTATTATGATATGTAAAGATGCAACGCATGCTTCGGTCAAACAAGCATACACATAGGCATTTACATCTGCTAAAAGACAAGCCACACGTCGTCGAGTAAGACTCGTTCCCGGAAAATGTTTTTGTTCTACAAACCCTCGATTATTGTTTTTGACATTTGATTGATTAAATATATTTTTTTGTACTAGGCCTTATTTATTTACCTTAGCAAACTAATCCCTATAGAGCTACAAAAATTACAGTGAGCACCTAATATTGTTAAGAATCTACTGTAAAAATTTCAGAGCCAACACTATCACTAATTTACCACAACAATTCCCACAAGTTTATACTTTGACAATATTAAGTATCTCAAATTAATTATATAGCTTCTAAGAATATTATAAAACTATGTGAACAAAATATACTAGCAGATAGTTAATGATTTTAGGCGTCTAACAAAATTAGTTTCACTATTTTTGGATATCTATGCGATTTTATAATATTTACCAAAGATCCGCTCAGAAATAAAATTTACAATCTATTTCTAATTCCTCCTAAAAAGGAAAAACAAAATCGGCCCAGCGTGGCCCACGCGCGCGGCGCGTGGACGCGGCCCACGGCAGAACCCATGCGCGCCCCAGGCGTTTAAGCAAAAGCGCCCCCCGTCTTTTCCCGACCTACACCGTGACCCAAACCCTATTCCTCCCTCTCTCACCCCTCTTCACTTAACCCCCTGACATCTCCCAAATTTACGCGTGCACCTCCCCGAGTCAGGGCACGCGGCGGCGTGACGGCAGCGGCACTGGGCGGCTACGCCGGCTAGCAGGGCTCGCGCCGGCCCCGTCTAATCGGCCGACCACCATCACTAACCTAAACTCAGGCGCTATGCGGCAGTGGGGGACAGCGGGGCTCGCGGGCGAGCGTGGCCACGGCACGTGGCCACCCACGGTGATGACACAGTCGCTCCAGCTAGCTAGCGCCTCTAAAGGACCAACCGGCTGGCGCTAGAGCACCACAGACTTACCACAACACTAGCTAAGGCGATGGTTGACGCAGAGGAAGGCCGGGGTGGGCTAGCCATGTGCACGCAGCGATGTCGGCGGCGCTCTAGGCGTGGCACCGTCGCGTCACCGCACCAGTGGTGAGCACCCTGGCCCAAACGGTGCAAGCATCAGCTGTAGGGGGTCGAGATGAGCTTAGAGCCACGATCAATTGAACTATTACCGTTGCAATCCTACCTTTCTTCCCCGTTCCCGGTCACGGCGGCGACATGGCCCGCGGCGAGCAGAACCTCAAATTTACACGATGGAGGGCATCGAAGGTAACTGGCGCTATCAGAACAGCTAGTTGGTTATGAGTCCTTGCTACAATGGGGCTGAATTGAGCTGGGATGCCACAGTCCATGCATTAATTCAGGAAGCGGCGCGGCTGCTAGTGCCCAGACAGAGCCATTAAGGCGTGCCCGCATACGGCCACGCGCACACAGCAGCGTGACGTCGTGATGCAGCAGGCTACGCAACAACATCGAGCTTGGCTTGGTAGGTGGTTCGAGCGATGAGATGGGCGCCACGTCGGTCCAGTGGCTGAGCGGCCACAACTTGGCTCGTTCACGGCTTGGCCACCAGGGCGCATGCACCGGCCAGGCCACGGCAGCCTGGCAGCGTAGTCGGCCCACGGTGGCGGCCGAGGCCAACCCATCCCGACGCGCAGCCGGCAGCCCGCAAGGCTAACCACGGCATGACTATGGCCAAGAAAGGGCCGAAACGGCAGTGCGCGCGGTGACCGCGAACACGGGCTGTGCCACAACGAGCGGTGATGTGCATGGTTTTTAAAGCGATACAAAAGCTGCTGATCAACTCAACCCGGGTTCAACCGGTTCCATTAACCTAAAGTCGGTACTAACACCTATCTAGCGAAACAAACCTCACATCCAGAGAGCGACTAGAGAGCGAGATAGGGAGGTGCCAACATGAGTCCGTCACGTGGGATGGCGGTTCATGAACCGGGCACCGAATCATAGTTCGCAGCGCGTTCCAACGTAGTTCAGAGAATTTTTGCGCGAGCAACGCACCACCCAACACCACAACTACTTATACCAAGTCCGTGCACTCACCTTGGTGCGACCAACGATGTCAAAATATGAAGCCGTCGCTTAAGCATTTTTGTAAATTTAAATGACAATATAACATCGTCCATTATCATTTCGGACTTAACGAATTCGATGTTCGATTAGAACTAACCTTCCCCAACACTTTTGGTTGAATTTTTAAATGGTCTAAGCCTCTTCAATTTCAACTTGACAACATGTCATGACCTAGCTCATACTTCATGCTAACTTCTGTAGATTTCACTACACATCTCACTAAAACTTAACATTTGTACCCACAACTATTTGAGAGTACTTGTTCTTTTTTACTCAGCATGAGGCCTATGATACTTTGCAAAAAATTACAAGACATTCTTAACTCCATTCCAGTGATCTATATCTAGACTGGACTTCTGCCAAAATATCCCGGATACATAAGCTACGTCAAGGTAAGTTCTTACTTGTACATTCATTAAGCTTCCAACAGCTAAAGCATATGGAACCATGTTCATTTGATCGATCTCATATCGGTTTCTGAAACACTGAAAGTTCCCAAATCTATTATCCTTGACTTTAGGAGCAAGCGTAGGTTTACTCGTGTGCATACTTTATTTATTTAGAATTTTTTTCTAAGTATGCCTTTGCAATAGTCCTAACACCTCTTTTTCATCTATCTCGGTGAATTTC